GTATTGAAAAAGTGTATTTTAGTAAATAAAATTCACATTATTATGAAGAAGTGTAATTTAACAAAAAGATATTTTACAACTAAAAGTATTGAAAAAATGTTCTAATAAACTGACTTTAATCCTCTCGAATAAAAGCTCTTTCAATCGATTGAAGTTGTATCAAGCTACTAGTTTAATATTTCTAATCAGAAGTTAATTTGTTGTTATTTGAATCGGCTATGAGTTGATATGCGTATACCTTATAATTCTATTTATCTTATCGCCCTAACGAAACCAGATTTATAATCGCTTTCGAGCTCTCAGAGTGTTATAAAACCGGTTACACACTACACGGCTATACTATAACACGTGTAAAATAAGCACGTAATAGGAAAGGTAACAGAAGTAAGAAGAAAGTACCAAAATAATATGTAAGAAAATAATTGAATACGGCAAATTCGTATAAATCCTGCCATAAAATTAGTTTATTATTTCAGGTTATGTTTATCTAAGTAAAACATAAAATTGTAGGTATTCTTTGCAAAATTATTTTATACTAGCTTTCGCCCCCGACTCCACCCGCGTGGAATTAAAAAAAACTAAAGTGAGTAGCCTATGTGTTCAGAAGAACATAAATATAGAGGACAGTCTAGAAAAACTATCCTCTATATTTATGCCAAATTTCATCGAGATCTCTTCAGGCTACAAACTCTAACAAACATACATCCATACATCTAAACTTATGCATTTATAATATTAGTAAAGTAATGAGTAATTATTTGATATTGTAGTTTTTACCTGACTAATGAAAGTGGTGACTTCATAGCTATTTATTTTAATTTAATTTGACCTGTAATTTTTCTTGAGCGTTTTATTGACGTGACATTTTATTAATAATAATGTAAGAACTTAACTCAAGGCTATAAAACTCTGTGTGGTCTGAATTTAATGCTCACTATTATAGAATGATTAGACGCTACCGTGGACCGTTCTTAATAAAATGCTTTATTGTTTTTAAATAATTGACTGCCCTTATGTTCTAAAACATTACATTTGTAGTAGATATACTTTCACACGGTGTGACTCAAAGACTGACTTAAATTAATGGAGGTTAGGCTTATATAATCGTGTAAACCCAACGACTTATAACACGTATTAACTAAACTAAGAAAAATATTAGGCTTACATATTAAAATTTACAAAGAATTATCTCCAAACTCTCATTTCTCGCGTTTAAACCAACAGTTGAATTCAATCTTTTAACACCGTTTGTATTTCAAATTACATGAATTTCGTTTAAGAGCGGGCGGACACCATTGACTAAACTAACAAACAACTATTGTGCGATTGTCGATTGTTTCGTTGCCCTTTAACTGTTTAGTTATGCAACTAAAGGTAGTATGCTCAATTCCATATAAGCTCATAGGAATCAAAGCGCGACTAAACAGTTGTGCGATAGTTTAGTCAAAGGTGTACGCATGCTCTAAGCCGTAAATTCGACAAGTCATGCCTCTGCATTCGATGCGTCATGCGCGTGCGCACGCCGTTTTCGTTCTTATACAAAGGCAGAGGCAAACATATTGCCTTACGATGTGAATAAAAAAACTTTTTAGATTTGTGCGGTACAATTGATTTTATAAGGGTTTTAATAATTAAAGCCGGGAACACAATGGACTCTATTCTGGGAATCAGATCAATTATACAAACAGTATAACAATGCTTTATAAATAACGTATTCTTTCCATCTTAGGTCTCCTAATCGTGTTAGAGAAGGATGACTATCTTGAGAAAGGTACTATTAAAACGGGCTGCTGAAAAAAATATAGGTGTTATAAATGAGGTGCAAATACTTATTGATTGCGTGTAGAAAAGGGGTGAATGAAATAGAGACAGAATTAGAGACAGAGGAAGAAAGGTTAATTTGTAACTTGAACATAGGTTTTTTTCAGAATCAAAGACGAATCTAGAATATGCCGAGGACTGGTAGGTTAGAATGTCGACCTTAACTCATGAGAAGCAATAATAGTAATTCGACTCTAATTTGTAATAATTACATGAGTAGCCACTTCGGGTAATTTCCTTGCCATTCGCGAACATAAAAAGAATGCAAGTTGTATGATGACTTGTCAATAGCCAAGTCCGACCCTTACAGATAGAATTAGCTTTATGTATTTTGTACCTTTTTGCATTAGATTAAAAGTTAGTTTATTTGCAAAAAGTTAAGTATAATCGACAGACCTTTATTTTTTATAATTTTGTCTTTGTTAGAAATTCGTATTCACTCTATGTTTATTGTAATATGCAAAGTTTTATCAAATTCTATGATAATCCTTCTCTTAAAAAACATATCTCTGGTAATGGAACCCCACGGTCAGTTGAACGTATTTGATGTTTTACTGTAGGTAATTTCTTGGTTATGTAAAATAACATGACTTATCTTATCGCCTCTATCCTAAAAGTCAAAAAGTTATCAGTGAATCGTTAGTTTCCGTTCCCACATTCGACATACGTTAAATGATAATTAGAATTATAATAATTGAGTTCTTTCAACTTGTCCACGTTTGCCGATATGAAAATCGTAACTTGATTTGAAGGTTGTAAGAAGCGTTAAGCACAGATTAAGCTCGATGTCAGAGATATTTGAATAATTTACACACTGTGACGACAACACGGACTTGTGTTAGACTTTAATAATCTTACCATGAAAACATTCAAATATATTCTCTCTCTCTCTCTCACACTCTCTCTATGTCTACTTTATATCTCAGTTTGTTATTTCGTACTATTTCCCAAATAATTTATTACATTTACAACTGACATTATAAACAGAAAATATTTATTTGATTGTTTGTTTGCATTAAATAGGCATCAAAACTACTGAAACGATTTCAAAAATTCTTTCCCCATTAGTAAGCTACATGACTGAGTAACATAGCCTAGGCTATGTATTACATAAACATGTATGGTATGATAAAACAGAAACGATATTCTTCGCCACTCGTGCAAAGCCAGGGGCGACGCTAGTTCACAATAAAGAGGCACAAATAGGTTTAATTTTTTAATATTCTATCATTAACTACTAATAGCTAGGGTGTTTTGCGTCATTATCTAACTACTAATTTATTTGCTGTAACTTGTTCAAGGATCAATGGTTTTTTACGATAGAGAATATTATCGAACTAGAATTTCGCGACAAAAAGTGATAATCTTATTACCTTCGATGTTTAAAAGTGCCACACACGATGTAGTCGCAACTCATACAAAAAAAATGTCTACACGTAGGATGTACGAAGTTTGCATATTGAATTATTTATTGACTAAACGATGATGAAACTTATAAAAACTAGCTGTTGCTCGTGACTTTGCCCGAGTTAAATTAGTAAAATAGAAAAAATTTAGGCTATGTTACTCAGTGTTAACATAGCTTTTTAAATCGGTTCAGAAGTTTTTGAATCATTTTAATACATGCTAAAATCTAAATACAAATCTTTCCTTTTTATTATTTTACTAAATGTATACAAATGAAATTATTTACAAGGTTTAACCACTCTATATAAAAATTAATGACCTAATTGAATGGGTTTTTGTCTAATGAGTAAAGTAAATTAGAGGAAACGGTAATAGTTATTATTATTAAGGTAATTCGTCTGAGTCTGAAGCTGAGACGATATTATTGTGACATCCTCACTATTTGGTTTATTTAAACAGGTTTTCATGTCTTTTATTTATGGTATAGACAGGGATAGGAACAGATTTTATTTATGGTGGTGCTATTTAATCTATCAGCCTCCGTCAGTTGTTTTTTTTTTTTTAAATAAAGTATAGGTTATTGTAAGTGTACTAGGAATAAAACTAAAAGATAAAATAACATTAAAATCAAATAAGGAAAAGACAAAATTCAAAAACATAGCAACTTGTATAAAAAAACTAAAATGGCGTTGGTCAGGACATATGTTGAGAGATAGAAAGGAAAAATGGTCAAGATTAGTAACAGAGTGGTATCCAAGACAAGGAAAAAGGAATAGAGGAAGGCAGGTCAAGCGATGGGAAGACGATTTCAAAAAGGTAGGGGGTAAATTGTGGATAAGGGAAGCTAGAGATAGGGAAAAATGGAAGACTTTAGAGGAGGCCTATGTCCAGGGACAAGCTGTAGATAGTGGTTTAAGAGTCGCCAATATGTAAGAAGAAATAGATGTAGGTAAAATGTAAATTTAAAATTAGACTTACATAAAAAAAAATCAAATGTACAATCTTCAGCAATAAAGGCTTTATTATTATTATTATTATTATTATTATTATTATAGGTTATTAATTATTGAATGAGTATCAGTTTAAGATGTTCTAATATTTTATGTTATTTAAGAAATCCCGATACTTCATGTCCACCAGAAAATGTCATAAATTGTAAAAAAACTCGATGAAATATAGCTTCCAAGTTAACAGTATTTTTCTTTGTATACTGTTTATTGCCTTGTTCATAATAAATATAATTTTATGAACGTTTCATGTAAATTAATCAATTGTCGAAACTCGTTTCAATTAATGTACGTAACGGTAGATTAACAATATAACTGGTGTATGATTTTTGTTTCAACTTTTGCAATATTTCATTTTATGTACTGTTAAAATTATAACGGTATCTTTCAGAAACGCAGAATACTTCGACTATTAGAGAATGTTAAAATTATAAATGAAGAAAGGCCTTGTGAAGTATTGTCCAAAATAATCTGTAAATTATTATGTACTAGTTTTCGACCGCGACTCAATGCGCATGGACTTTTTAAAAGAAAAAGTAAGTAACCTTCCAGAATATGTTCTACATGCCAAATTATATCGAGATCCGTTCAGCAGTTTAGGCTATAAACTCTAATAAAAATATTAAGTAAGATTGTTTCCATCGTGTTTTAACCGACTTACAAATAGGAGGCGGTTCTCAATTGGTTTATATTGTATACTCGTTTTCGTTCGACTAGACATTTATCTACTTTTATCATTGATATAAAAATCTAAATGCAACTCACCTCAGAAAAATCTCGCTGCGACATCTTTAAACCGTACCTGAAATTAATCATTATATTAAATCAAGTTACAAATATAATTTAAAACATAAAAACATCACATCTAAAATCTTGAATCTCTTTCATAGAACTATGTCTAGATATACTTGGTTAACAAATTGGGGGTCGCTTTTACTAAAACTATACTACTAAAGCTGTAGGACTTGTAATATCTTATAATAAACGGTTAGAACTTAATAGACAAGGAACGGTCTCTGCTACTATGATATAAAAAGAATAGAAAACATCCTACTATAGTCATAACAGTTATCTATCCTCTTGTAAGATCGTTAGATAAAAAGCGCCGCTACTGCACTAAGCGCAGAAAATTCTTAACTTCATAGCGACCGCTCGCCGCAGATAAGATTAAAATGTCGACTATCAGAGTGAGTAATTACTTGTGTGCGAATGTGTGTGTACCATTGAAAATTGAGAAATGGACTTAGCAAAAAGTACTAAGTTGTACTTAATAGATCACGCCACTTTCTGCAGCGGTTAAGATGAAATGATCAAGCTGGCACTCAAAATTGTGCAATCATACTAATCATACTTAATATTATAAATGCGAAAGTTTCGATAGATGGATGTTTGTTAGAGTTTCTAGCCTAAACGGCTGAACCAATTTCGTTAAAATTTGGTAAGAATGGAGAGGATAGTCTGGAAGAACACATAGGCTACTTGGTTTTGTTTTTTTTTTTAATTCCACGCGGACGGAGTCGCGGGCAAAAGCTAGTAATACATAAAATTGTAACATATTTACAAAATGCTGTTTACTGTTTCACAAGTAAAAGTAGAATTCATTGGACTTGTCCTATCTCTTATGTCATAGGGGTTTGTTCATATCTTGATGTGTGCTTGTATTACTTGATGACCAATAAATGCGGCAGTGTAATTGACTTCAACGTGACAATGCCTTTCTTTGACTTAACATAATATTTCCAAACCATTTCTTTAGTTTATTTTATATCATGCTTATAAAATTTCTGACAGCATATGCTTTCTTGATCACAGTGACAGCAGTTCCTAGTAATTCATCGAATGTATAAAAAAAGCAGTATAACAAGTTTTTTTATGGTATGTACATGTTTTTATGGTATGTATGTACATACTTGTAAATGATACTTAGCATCAAATAAGTTTTTGAAGCATTTTTTTAATTGGAAATGAAAGAAAATTGCGTCGGCGACACAAAGGTATCGATTGTAATTCCTACTTAATTATAAAAGCTGTTATTGAACTAAAAACATCAAAATCCTTACAAAACCCTTTTTATTGCGGGCAGATTAAATTCATAATTAGTACACTTAATATCCTTAATGTGCAATTTTGTGGAAATTCATGTGTATCAGGTTGCCGTAAAAATAATCACACAATTTGATACGTATTACATATCCAATAAGGTTTAAATTTGAATAAATAATCATATATCCATTAGTAATCGGTCTGAGTAGAGTAATAAGTTTGAAAGCCTTATTAAAAGCTTTTCAAAAGTTTATCGTAGGTACACATCGTATGTAAAATACTTAAACAACCGTGGGATTTCACAGATAAAAAACAAAACCGACTTCCGAGCAAAATATTTTTAAAATACCCTAAAAACAAAGGAAATAATTCCTTGAATAGCTTCGTACCTTATACCTTCCTTATTGTAGCTGTTATGTCTATATCAAAAAAAGGTATTTTCAAAATCGGTCCACCAGTGCCGGAGATATCGCGTAAATACATAAAAAAAAACATACAGACGAATCTACCATTTTTTATGAAAGTTAATCGATTTTTATAAGACTTTCAGCAGAGTACCTTTACTAAGTATTTTTTTAAATAAAATTAAATGAAAAATATTTAAAAATTCATTAGTTTGATGCATGTATATTTAAAATGTCTGTCCGTCTGTTGGTCACATCACTCTTGACGAGGGATCTCCATATCAATTGCACATCTTTGTGTTTTTTTATCTTTTCATCGGGAAATTAATTATCTTTGCAGTAACCACGTCATCACAAACTTAAATAAAAAAGAAAGTTCTTACGCATTTTAAAATTAATTTAATATTAAAGTTGGTAGATTTTATATGACACATCAGCTTTTGCGCCATTTTAAATTGTATGTAGTCTTTGAGATTTTCATTTTTGAATAAAAATGTTTAATACATAGGGTATATTAATTTGTAGAATTTTTAAGAAAAAACGATAACCATATTTTACTGAGCAAGGCAATTAACTTTTTTAATAGACATGACTTCAAGTTTATAATTAGTGTTTAATTTTTCCCGAAATATTCAATAAATTCAAAATTGCAAAACAAGAAATTTATGACCCCATTAATAAGCTTTTTATGTTTGAAATATGCCAATTAGTTTTTTAATACTACTTATCATTATCATCACCAGCTCACTATACGTCCCCGCCGAGGGGCTCGGCGCCTACCCTAAGTAAGGGGTGACTAGGTCGTAGTCAACCACGCTGGCCCATTGCGGGTTGGTTGACTTCACACATATCTTTGAATTTCTCTGATATGTGCAGGTTGCATCACAATGTTTTCCTTCACCGTAAGAACATCGGGTAAATTATGTACATATGAAAATTCGGAATATCGAAAATCACACTGGTACATCTTGGGATTCGAACCCAAGATCTGTAGATTACAAGTCAAGGTCTTAAACCACTGAGCCATCAACACTCCTATAGTACTTATACTTTATACTATTTTACAAAGTTTCGTTAAATTTATTTTGGTGTAAACCCGTTTGAGACTTCTCTTATGTCCCTATCTAGGGCGGCTCTGAAGATCTTACTTTGTGTTTGCGCATGGTTATGCAAATATCATCAATCTATTTAAAGCAAAGTTATGATCTTGCGCTTACATATACAGCAGTATTTTAGTAATATTATTTATTAGAGTATTATTCATATTGGACGGTTTTATGCAACAGCTGTTAAGTTTATTATAGAACCATCAGTGTAATAAAATTACACTCAGTAATTTAAGATTATAACGCACTAAACAACTTTGTAGATTTAAAACTTGTTGAGTTCTACCGATGTTATTAAAGCTTAATAGGAAAATTACTAAAAGCACTAAACGATATCGATTTTCGAGTAGTAATTTACTATCTGTCATCTAAATATAGTTTATATATTATTCATTTTTGAATTTGGAATTTGTAACAGTTTCATACTTTTGGTACATGCATAAAAAATGTATCTGTTTTTAGTAGAAAACACATTAAAGATCTATCCAGTCTAGACCGATGAATACATTTTTAATAATGCTTTCTTATTATACTGTTTTATCATGATGTTTTTGTTTTTTTCTTATTGATTTACTATATTTTGCCCCCGACTTCATACGATCATAATTAAGACTTAGTAAATAATCTACGTATTTTTCCAGACCAAACTAATCTATATCTAGACTAATATTATAAAGATGAAAGATTTGGATTTTTGTATGTATTTGATTCATTCAAAAACTAATAGGCCGATTTTAAAAATTCTTTCACCATTAGAAAGGTTTTTAAGAAAATTTATCTGTGAGTAACGTAGGCTCCATTACATTATGGCAAACGACCGTTTTGGAGACACGACAAACATTCATCCAAACTTTCGTATTTCTAATATTAGTAGTAAATGAACATAGCCTGCTGTATACGTGTCGTAAGGAAGCTTCAAGTAAAATTTGTATCGTATGTAACGAGAGATCACTCAATCTCCTAGTTATTACGTGCAAGCACGAAGGTTCCCGCCATAACACGAACGCTGTGTAACTGTAAGCCTGGGGACAGTTATCTCTAATAAACGCAGCGACACAGCATTGTTTAATGACACTCTAATGACACACTGGAATTTGACTGCCAGTCATGTCACAAAATGTTACAAATTATTTTCAAGTTATATTAAAGACTTTTTGAGCTTTCGGCACCCATCCATCTATACATCTAAACTTTCACATTTATAATATTAGCATGAAAGTATGATGTCTACGTTATTTATTCCACGTTTGTGCAGTGATGGAAAACATCGTGAGGTTACAAAGATATGGGACTGTTGTCACCTAAGTTTTAGTCAGTAGCCTTCGGGCGAATTTATAATAAAAAATATAGCCTATGTTACTGACAGATAAATTATCTTTATAAAGGTGAAAGAATTTATAAAATCGGCTCAGTACTTTTTGAGCTATCTCAGTACAAACAAAAATCCAAATCATCTTTATAATATTAAGTATAGAAAAGACTCCAATCCGTTGTCATATGTTGAAGTTTATTAGCTACATATTTCTAATTAAAATTGGTATTTTGTAAACAAATACATGAAAACGGTCATTGTTTAAGTTGTTAAGCTTTATAATTATACGTATAGATAGCATTAGTTATCTCCTATGCAGTTACAATATGACTGTTGTTTTAGTGGCTTTTTCGTTGCAATTTTCAATTATTACACGTATGAATTATGATTATTGTCCTATCTATTTATGCGTTTGTGAATATTCACGGAAGTTGCCAGCAGGTTGTTTACGACCGCGCATGTTTGCCTTCCCTGTTCGCACAACTCTCAAAACGAATTTACTATACATTTACTCGGTAACGACCGCACTTAGAGACCTTTTCGGTCGATTTAGTGTACTAATTAAGCGACTCTGTGGTGAAAGCGTTTAAGTTTTGCATAAACACAAAGTTTATACCAAAACAATGTTATCTTGCCGTATCAAGTTCGAAAGTGGTTCGATTTATACAAAAATTGAAGCACGTTCTTGCCTGAAGCTATGCCAGTTATACAGTAGCCGGTAGCCGTCGCCAGGTGGCGTTGAATCGAACTCTAAACACGGTCGCACTATCATTACCCGCACGTGAACTGACGTGACCGTCCTAATCACATTACAGCCTTTGTTATATACGGTAATTGTACTTTATTTTCACTTTTTAAATAACGACTAATTTATATGTATTTTAAACTGTAAGTATACTGATAATTATAGTCGTCACCAGTAGGTAGGTCTAGTAATAAATTTCGTATTCGAAGTATTTTTTACCTATATTTTAAATATGTGACTACTTCAATTCTATAAATGGGCAGCCTTCCCCTATCTATTGGCGATATCCATGCTAATTATACCATTTTAAAAAGGTTAAAGTCAGTTATAGGGTAAATATTGGACAATACGCAACGTGACATCTTTAAACATATGGAAGACTAGTCAACGGATGACAGATAAGTATCTATAGATAGATAGAGATACTTTTGGATGTAGCCAATAAGTGGAAGAAACGTCTTAGTCTATTATTTAAATGTGAATAACCTTCAAATGAATAAAGAAAATGTCACCGTAAAGCAAATGGAAGGGAAAAACATCAGTCTTATACTAAAACACATCGTACTAAGTAATCTGTCGCGTGCGGCGTGTCGGTGCCCCGGGCGTCCTGAGTGACTACGCCCGCGGTCGCTAAAATAAATTCCCCAGCTACTTGTTACAAACAGATGAGATTACTTACCATAATAATGAGCAAGTGATATGAAACAGCTATTTAGTTCTTGTCAGTTTTAAACCAGAATGTTAACGGAGATGAAATGTAAAATGAGTTTTGCTTTGTAAAATGATTTTAGTTATGCTGTCAGCTTTTAGATCAGAGATATAGTTTCTACACTGTTACATATAATTACAAATATTTTAAGATTCAATTAAATTTGCTTATTTGCTTTACAATTTAGGTAAAAAATGTAAAAGTTGTCAATTTAATGTCCTAGGAAAAAACTGTCATATTTTTCTACGCTATTATAAAATTAAAATTCTTCAAGTAGTTTGTTAAAGATTTATCTCGTTGAGATTTAAGGACGTAAAAATGATTCCCAACTGAGTTTCAAGTTAACAACGCGTCTCTGTGTAGACCTACTGATGTTATCGCGCGTTGTCACGTACTGACTACAAAATGAGATTGACCTTGGCTTTGTTTAAAATTAATTTGAGAAGTTCTTGGATACAGAAAAAGGGCGTAATAATGGGGATGTCTTACTCCACTGAAACCTTATTTGGTCAATGTTTTTGATTATTTTACTACGAAACGGAAAAACTACGGAAACACTTTTCTTCTTCAAGGAGTATAAAAACAGAATAACTGTTTATTATTACATTTTAACTTCTTAAACAAATATTCTAAAGAAATAATGATTGATGACAAAATGATAACAAGAGATAATCTCTACAGACGATGGTTCGAACGCGTTGATGTCTTTTCTTTGCGTGTCTTGCCATTGTGTGAAAAGTTTGTTATAACTATGAGTGTAAATGTTGTTTAATTTGTATAAGAAATCTAGTATCTGACATCTCTAATAATTGTAATAATAACGTAAATACAGATATAGAATGTAATAGTTAATATAGAAAGCCCAAAAACAAATAAAAAATTATGATATCAATTAGAAATTCACGTTTTTAATAATATTTATCAATTACACTTTTATATTCACAGCATAAGTCATATTTCAACATTAAATAATATGTTACACAGATGTACGATGATAAATCGACGATAACTCGTTTATAAAGCTTCAAACAACTTTCTAGTCCATTGCCTCTATATGGAATGGAGTTACTATCAGTACGACTAAATAAATTAAAAAGTCTACACTTAGCGTATCACTGAGCAATCGGGAAAGTTACTAATCATACATTTAGTAAATGTAAAGGGAATTTACACAATCAGAAAATACGTAGTTGTCACAAACATGCGTACAAATCCCTTAACAAACGCACACATCGGCGTCTAGGCGTGTATTACCGCCATATAACTTACCATCACGGCCTTTGATTTAGGCCAATTATAAACCCATTTCTTGGTTTCGAACACGCTTATTACACTCCGACAAACAAAAAAATATGTTTCGTTACCGCATTACATAGGCACTATATGTACAAATAGTCGTGTATTCCAACGAATTATTGGAAATAAAACACATGAAAACACTCAATAATGACACTATTAAACATATTTCGTAAGATTAAATAAGCATTTGATGAAACTAAAATGTGTTAAGATAATTTTAAAGTTTAAGTTGTGGTCTGCATGCGCAAGCGCAGCCTTAACCCGACTGACTGCCGGTTACCTGTGCTGCCAGCTTATGTTAACTAAACTACTTCTAAAAAGTTACTCATTTCTACTACATGTTTTTATTTTATGTACTAAAGTAATTGTAACGGACGTTTTCACAAATTAATTTATTTTACTGTTATTTTTAATAACGAGGTTGCTTAATATTACCACTTGTATTGCTTTAAATTGATTAAGAAAGGAATTCTTTGGTTACCTTTTAAAAAATTACAATCTTGTATTATGCATAAAATTTTAAAACTGCATATTATTAAAGTCTAGAGCTAAAGGAACAGTATTCTATGTGTAAAAATATTAATGTATGTATTATTCAATTACTTAAACAATTCCAATAACGATATGTAAATACTTTAATTTCCATAAAAAAATATCTTTTATAATTTTACACAAAACTTTAGCATTGTAAAACTACCAATATGGTGTTTAATTTTACCGTATGGCAACAATTTTAATTCCTGCATGATTCTTAAAGAGAGTTAGAAGATATTTCCGTCTCTCTCTACAGGCCGGAATGTGACCCGCTATCACCTTGAAGGCCGTAAGCTTACAGACGCTTCAATGAAAACAAGAGCTTTCAAGCTTATTAGATATGCGTGCCTTCGTTAAGTGTTAAATAATAACTACTGAAATATGATTTATGAACGTTGTAAACAGATGTTCAAAGCTGAGCAATTAGGGACTCCGACACAAACAAGCAACTTTACAAATATGTTATTAAATCGTCATAATTATAAGTAAAAAATTTAAAGACATTAAATGAATTGGTTAGATAATGAATTCTGTTACTCAACTTAAACGTAATAGCGCGTCGTCAATTCGACCTTGGTCGCGTCCAAGTCATTTGTACAATTTACTTCCTACGCTTTTTAGGCTGTTGAATAACATTTTATGTACTAAATTGTCAATTTCTGTTGTACCAAAGTCTATATAAAAGAATGGAAAGTAAAATTGTGACCTGAAAACTTTAAAACTGTAAACGAAACATAATTTTAACTTTTGTTAGAAAATTGACAAAATCTCCAGTTAACTAACGGATTCATAACCATCATTACAATTTAATGTACCACAGCCCGCATCCTAAACCACACTACTATAGGTCAGGGGTAACAAACCACTGGCACTTAACATAGTATTTTAGGCACGTCGATAATCATAATAACACTACGAAAAAAAGTAGGTGCACCATGCAATTGACGTAATAATCGCACTCAAAAATTTTTGCTGGCACGTCTAAGACCGCATTAAACATTTCTTTACAAAAATGGCACTTTGATGCATAAATGTTTACTACCCCCGCTATAGGTGATCGGGTATGAACGCTAAAGTATATTTTACAAATATCAAACTTCATTCTAATACGAGACTGGAGCATCGTCGATGTAGAAGTAATCAAAAAACCAAACGGAGATTATATCTCCCTATCTGTCGATACGTTTAGAGCTTCTGCTCTATCTGTACACCCTGAAAGTTTTAAATAGCAATTTTGATGTATTCATATTCAACTAATAATTTTAACATCAGGCATCAGAATGGATTTCGATTATGTGATATAACTACGAGCAGGTCTTTTAAATCATTTATGGTTGTTACTTTTAAATTCTAATTTTTTTCTAATTATTAAAGCTTTGTACACAAAAAGTAACAATTTTTAATAAATATAAATTAAAAGTAGGTAGTACATGTGAGCCTAACTCTAGAAGAGTTAGTTACCTTAGGGCTTCTTGTCTGGATTAAAAAAAGACGAACTTCCGGCCTCTCATTAGCTCTCTCCTTATTATTATTTCAGGATTGTGTCTTTGTCGGTGGAGCCTCCTCTAGTTCTCCTTTCTTTGCTCCATCCTTTTGACTTCCTGCTAATGGATAGCTCTTTATGTAAGGCACAAATATGCATCACAATTCCTGAATTCACTTTTAAAGATAAACTTAGAACATGTCTGATACGAAAGATAGACAGCCATAGTAATTAATAGTTTGAAATAACAATACAGATCGGTATTAAATACTGCTCAACTACTATTGGGACTTTACACGAAATTAAATGTGCAAAATGGAAAAAATGTTTACCAAATACCTACATGAAAATAAAAAATACAATTATTTTAGAAAGTGTTAATCGATAAACTTGAGTAGGTATTTTAAAATATTTTAAATAGTTAAATAATCTTCTGTTAAACCGAACGACCGCCAAAATGAATTTCAAGTTCAAGAACAAACATTTATTGTTTCTAAACGACATGGTTGCTTAGCAACTGTCATCCTGTTGACTAAATGTCACATTTGACTTAACGAACGTTTTGTTTTGAACTACAATTTGGGTAACGATGTGTTATGTGTTGATTGTATCATAATTCGTGACAAAAAGCGATCTCATACGAAACACGATAGGAAGTGAAATATTACGTAGTTTAATTATACGATTGACCTCATACGGCCCAGTTGCTCGACGGTTGGCGCCCACGCGAAGTGAAATAAACGGCCCAATCATTGAAGTCTGAGGTCGAATTATTCTCAATCTGGTGTCCAAATCGTGGGTGATTCGTGTGTGCAGTGAAGCGAACAGGCTGGTAAATATTGATTTAACTAAATGAGTCGCTAAACACCATTTTATTGTCATGACGAGCTTTAAACAGATGTAAATAGTTGTTTATAGAAAGGTTTTAAATGAAACTAACATATTTGTTAGAGAAATAAAAAAAAATTGACGAGGCTTGTAATTGGTAAGTACCTTAAAGATTTACAAAACTAAAAGTAAAACAATCAACATAGAGGGATTTAAAAAAAAAACCTTCTGTTTTGTTACTGTTAGAACACTATTAATAAGAACAACATGTGTATAATTACCATCTTTAAAATAAATAAAACCTCTTTTTAATAATAAAATGATGTTCATTTACCAAATTTTAAAAAATAAAGGCTTGTTTTGTTTATACCCTCGGTCAAGGTAATCAAGTTTTTTTTTTTACCATATAAAGCTTTAAGTGAAGGTAGGTATTATTTGGGCCAGTATCTTAAGATTATTTTAGACAGTATCATTTTAAACTATATTATTAATACAAATACATACTGATTTAATATTTATTTTACAATTTATTGAAATCCTCAAATTGAGTAAAGTGTAATTTGGCATCTTCCTTATGTTATAAATGTAAATATTTCTGTGGACAAAAATATGGGTATTTACATTAATATTGAAACTGCTGAACAAATCTGCTTGATAAACCAGAAATAACGTAAACCAGTCTGAAATAAGCTATTAAATCCCTTTTTATTATAATTTACCCTGACAAAGTCAGACTGTTAGTTTGACATATTTTCAGATCATGTCTCGAGCAAAACCACAATGGCAGCTGCAGGCTTTAGCAGCACATAGACGTGACAATGAACTTCGTAGGGCTGAAGAGCTGCGGAAGGTTGCAGATTACTTTGAGACAAACACCAACAAGTCAAAGCACCATGAGCTGTGGACAACAGATGATTATTATGAACGAGCCAAGAAAGAAGCTGAGATACTACATCAGAAAAAAATGAGATCAGCGTAGGTATTTTTAAATTATTGTTTCTATGTTAAAATATTTTTTTTTAGGTGTTTTATTTAAAATTAATGGTACATTGCAGTAAATTAGAAGAGAGACGTAAGAAACTGGAACTAATGTTGTTCCAAGAAAATATGCAGTACCAACAGGAGTTGAAAATGTTAGCCGCTCAGCCAAAATACTACAGGAATGGGTAAAATACTTATCTTACTTACTGCATTGGCGCAGCGACCCGTAGTGGGTCTTGGCCTCCTAAATTTTAATAGACTAAAATACTTATTTATAGTCTATTAAAATCTTTCTCTTGTTTTAGTTCATTATTATTTTCTTTTTAAAGTTATTTTGTCTTCGTCTGGCTGACTTTTATTATTAGTTCATTTATCATTACCAAATAAAAAATTTGTTTTGATTATTTTTTACTTTCTGATTTAATTACACATTGCAAAGAGATTTTACATGCTGTTAATTAAAAAAACTATTAAATAAGCTAAAAGCTTAGTAATTCATAAGTCTTGTAAGTTTAAATAGGATGTTTTTTTTTATTTGTTATAAATTTGTTTTGATTATTTTTTACTTTCTGATTTAATTACACATTGCAAAGAGATTTTACATGCTGTTAATTAAAAAAACTATTAAATCAGCTAAAAGCTTAGTAATTCATAAGTCTTGTAAGTTTAAATAGGATGTTTTTTTTTATTTGTTATAAATTTCTCTACAAGTTCATATCTCAACAAAGTACCAACATCCACCCTGCAAGAAATCAACCAGGGCATCATGGAGAAGGAGGAACAACTGCGTAGACATGAGGCGGAGTTACGCTTGCATCATGCCTGGAGACTGCGCCAGCCTGAGCTGAGGGCTGCCAGCACTTATCTAGCTAATGGGAAACTTAAATCTGCCTGGTATGTTATGTACTCCTGGTACTTGATGTTACTGAAACTTTAAATGTTCTGTTTGTAAAGTTTTATTTAAAGTCAAGTATTAATTTAAGTGTAATTTGTTAAAAATCTAATATAAATTATTTTTATTTCCATGATAAATTCATAAATTTTAGACACAAGAAATAGCTCTTTCATAAAACAACTCTGTATTTGTATTTATTATTACCTTAATTCTAAATTAAATTGTTTTCCTATGTATGTGGTTGAAATTTTGGTTCCAGGATGGAACAAATAGTCGAGAAGGAATTACAAAAGAAGAAGGAAGAAGAGGAAACTAGAAAATGTCTACAGGAAAGAGACGAGGCGCTGCGGAGGCAGATTCAAATAGAAGAAGAGAGATTAAAAGAGAAAGAGCTACAAATGAAGGTGGGTACTTAATAAATAAACTAGCTTTCGCCCGCGTATCTGTCCGCGTGAAAGTAAAATACAAAAGTAAGTATTCTATGTGTTATTACAGACTATGCGAAATTTCTTCGAGATCCATTCAGCAGTTTAGTTCTAACCAAAATCTATCCATATAAACTTTTGCATTTGTAATATAAGTAAGATATAAGGCGTTAGTAAATATTGGCAAAACTCAGAGATACAAAATATTTCTTTTACAGGAGCTCCGTGAAGGTTTAGAAGGGCAGATAGGAGAGTTAAGTGAGAAAGAGACAGTTGTTAAAAAGTTGAGAAAGCAGGAAGAGAAAGAGAAGATGATATTAGATGAGCTATTATTCATATCTGAAGAAAGAGAGAGAGAACACGCAAAGCTTTTGGCAGAAAGGGACACGAATATTGTGAACATGGGTTTACATAAGTACAAATTGAAGAGAAAAGTGGCCGCTGTTATGAGGGAGATAGAGTTAGACTTAAAAATGTTGGACAAATTGCAAAGAGCAGTTATTAAGGTGATAGTTTTATTCATACATTTATACTTGTATTATAAAGAGAAATGATTTGTATTTTTATATGTATTGAAATAATTCAAAAAATCTTTGAACAATGAAAAACTACTTTATCACCGAGTTACATAGGCCGTTTTCGTTATTTTTTTTTTAATTCTACTCCGACGAAGTCACAAGCAACAGCTAGTCAGCAATAATATTAGAATGGGGATAAATTTAACCCGACTTATTGACAAGGATATTGTTTGCATATGTGAGTTTGTTTGCATGTATCAACAAACTATTCGGTATAATTCAGTTTTTACGAATAAACTCATAAAGTGGTTATTTTAAATTGTATGTGTTATTACAGGATTTCGACTATGAACAAGAGAAGTGTGCTAGTTATAAGAGAGTGGTGCAGGCGGCGCTGCTGGAAGTAGAGGAGTGGAGAGAGAGGGAACGACAGAGACAGAAGAACATTGAGGTTATGTACGACGGAGAAGCGAGACAGATCAATGAGAAACAAGACAAGGTAATTTATTCAATCTATTAAATGGATTTAGAACTGTATATAGTTCGACTGATTTAATTGACCCGGTAAATATTAGTGTATTAGCGACCCCTTGAAAAAAAATTCCACGATATCCCTCTAATTTCGTAGTTGTCTTGTCATGTCTTGTGTTTTTCATAGTTTTTTTTGTATTAGAAGTTTGACGTATTATTTTATAAGGAACTAGTTGTTACTTGCGACTTTGTCCACTTCAAATAAAAAAAATTGATTATATTACTGATAACGTTTTTTAATGGTAAAGAATTTTTAAAATCGGCCCTGTAGTTTTTAAGGCATTTCAATACATGTAAAAATAGATATCTTTCCTCTTTATAATATTAAAATAGATAACCAAATGTGTGATTATAATATTACTGTTTTTATTCATGTTATGAAATATCTATTCCAGCTGTGGGAGAAAGAGCGCGAAGCTCGAGCCGTACTAATGAGGGACGTAGTGACGTCACTAAAAAGACAAGTAGAAGAGAAGATAGAAGCAGGCAGGCAGCTGCAGCGCGAGAACGTGCTGGAGAGGGAGAAGATACTCCAGGAGATGGAAGACTTCCACCAGCAAGTACGAGCTAAAGAACGGGAGACACAGGTGAATTACAAGATAAACGCGTAGTTTCACACGAGGACTGGATAAGTAGAACAGTACTTACAGTACATTCACCTCCAAAACTGCTCATTTTGTATGGAGATTTTTAGAGAAATAGAGATTTAATTCATAATTAAATCAAAAATAATAAATGTTTGATAAAATGTTGACAATATCTATGTTTCGAGAATATGTTTTTGAGAAATATGACAAAAAGAGAGTTTTTTATTTTCTTGTTTGTTTGTCAGTGTGTCACAAGTGTGCTTGTTCTGGATAATCTCGGAAACGATTCGATTGATTTTGCCATGACTTTTTACTGGAGGTCAACTTATAAATGCGGGAGTGATATAGGCCTTTTATTCTTCTTTTACTTAAGAACTATAAGTCTTTGTCGATGGAGCCATCTAGTATTTTTGTAAAGATTATTATTAATATTTTAATGTGTATATTTCAGTTGAAGAATACAGAATACTCGACAATAGCGGCGCTGCAGTCTCAATTAAACGGTCTCAGAGTGGAGAAGGAGAGGTTAGAAGAAGTTGTAGAGAGGGAAGCTGACGTCAGAGCCGCCATACACAATGAGAAGAAGTTGCGGACAGAGATCGCTCGGATGCATAGAGAAGGTAATAAACAAGCGTGGTCTTAACCTTCTGATAATGTTTTCATTGCGAAACATCTACAAAAACATGTTTTCATTTATTGAACGATAGATTTTAAGCACATTTTTTTTAGTTATGAATTATAAGTGAAATCACCAATACTTTATTTTTTTATATTCCATAAAATCTTTTACTATATGAAAATTTTAATTTTTAAATTCAGAACTTTACCATTACAAACGGATATTTCTAAAATTTTATCGTGATAGTAATTCCGTCTATTTGTGATATTTATGCAAAGAAATTATTGCACAGGGTGTTTGATAACAAATTTAATTAAATTTAAATATATTAAAGAATATGATGAAAATTGAAAGCATTATATAAGCATTTAAATATTTACAAATACAGCAAAGCTATATTTTAATAACGAAACAAAAATAACTGAATACTTACATAGAAAAAACATAATATCCTTAACTAGATTAAAAGTAACAATGAATTAAAACAGCATAGCTTGTAAACGAAGAAACAAACTTTTTAACTTTATTATAATTTAAGGAAATACGAAATGAACTGAAAATAATTTTATTTCACATGAATTTAAGCTATGAATTATTTAGTTCTGAATCAACTTAATACTGAATTAGAAACATTTAGGGCCCGTCCCACCAAATTGTAAATTGTCTGAGAACAATCCAACGTGTAGAATATACGATGGAAATTTGGATTTTGTTACCGTATCTGACAGTGATGTTATTTTTAACCTATCTGAGCCTCTATCAGCCAGTGGTGGGACAGGCCCTTAATGTGTTCAAAATCTCAATATTTGGCTTTAAGTCGTGTATTTTAAGAAATGAAGTTTTTTCTATCCCAATTGTCCCAATATCGCCAGTTGCATTTTAATTGTGAAAAAAAAAATAGTGTCATTTGTAACAAGATCATTATTTTTACATATTTTGTGTGTAAGTGTGATTAATAAACATTGTATTTTTCAATTGAACTTTTAATTTCCTTCCTATAATTAGTAAAAATGTTTTATTTGTTTCAAGTAAATTATTAACTTAGCCTGAGGTTCATTTTACACATTTTTATTTGTTGTGAGTAGTCTAGAGTGAAGACTGCCATCTATTTTTAGTTGTTGGTACTAACGACAAACAAAAACATAAGATTTAGTAAAAAAAAAGTGAGTTATCAATAGATGGCGCTGTGACGAATACATATACTACCAAATCGATACAAAAAAAGAAAACTAAGATATATTGAATTTGTATTATAATTATACTGTACAAAATGTAGTCGAACCGAATCATTAATCTTTTTAGATCGATGCGATATTTACTTCGATGATTTTGTAAGGCTATCGTCACAAAAATGGATTAACCGCTCATTGCAATTTTTTTTTAGCGTTCATGGACATCCAATAAACAAGAGGAACCGTAGGTGTATTACCAGTCTGTTGTCACATTTACACCGAAGAAAGAAACAAGTAAGTGGATTAACAATGTTTTATTAAGAAAACTATTAAAAACTGATAATAATCTACAGGTCTTGGGTTCGAAACCCGCCATGTACCAATGTGAGTTTCCATTTTTCGAACTTCATATGTACATAATATAACCGACTGTGAAAGAAAACGTGATGCAACCTGCACATATCGGCGAAGAAATTCAAAGATATGTGTGAAGTCAACCAACCCGCAGTGCAGCGTGGTTGACTATGGCCTAGTCACTCCTTGTTAGGGTAGGCTCCGAGCCCCTCGGCGGGGACGTATAGTGAGCTGGTGATAATTATTTTTAGACATAATAAAATAGTTCATTTTAATCACTCAGAGGCTTTCTACGTAAAATGACTTGATTTAGTAAATTAATGATATCTTGTATATACCTAGTTAGAAGTTTGCACAAGCAGGTGTATTGCTAATCTACAATATGTGCTGAATCGTGTACAACTCCTACACATTACAACTTATATTTTACCACAAATAACACGTTTTCTTACGTAAATCTTACAATTTTAACAGTGGTAGAGCCCGCTTTAACATCTTCGCACGAATGGGCCGGCTCGACCGGTGTAATACCACGACTACACAGAAAACAGGCGTGAAGTGGAAGCAATTCCGCGTTTCGTCTGATAAGTGTGGTGTCAGAGGCCTAATTTTAGTTCCTTTCCCTTTCCACCCTTTTCTTGAGAGGAAAGGATGGGAAGGAAAGGGGGATTTAACGGTGGAGGAGATGCACAGGAAGGGAAAATTTCCTCTTTATGTGCGTCTCCTCCTCCGTCAATCAAGGGTAGGCAACGCATCTGCAATTGCGGATGTTTATGGGCAGCGGTCGCTTTCCATTTCTGTGGATTCAGGTGGCCGCTTGGTCGTTTGCCACCTTCTATTAGCAATAAAATAAAAAGTCTGATTTCTTAATTGCAAAAATGCAAAAGAATTTAAGAGATTTATTTAAGAGGGCAGTTAAACTTGTAGCGGGTTGTGTATTACAGTAGATTTCTACGGGTAAAACTCCATGTTGTTTTGTCATCCATTTATCAAATAATCTAGTCTATGTCTAACAGTTGGATTCTAGCTACCATTAGTATAGTGTAGAAGTAATTTTTTAAAGGGTTTTTATGTGTGATTTTTTAAATTATACTTGGTGAAATGGTGATTACCTCGTATAACTTGTAAACTCAAACTGGCATCTTTTACATTTCGATATCATAACATACCTACCTACTAATTTGCTGATATGATTATTTTTTAGTTTTACCTAATCTAATAAAATCAATCCACTTGCCCTTATCCCTTATGGAACGTCGGCACAGTATGTGCTGCTCTTCCATACATCTCTATCAGCAGCCATATCTGAATCCACACTTTTTTTAAGCATATCCTCTTTCACACAATCCATCCATACTTTCTTCGGTATTCCTCTACCATTGTAGCCAATATAAACAATGCAATTTTATGCAGAAATTAACGCGTTTATCAGTTTATTTGATAACATGCAGCATTGTTGACGTATTCGAGAAAGTAAAGTTTCATGCTTTTCTGTACATTTGTAATACATATTAAAAATTTGAAGAATAGCTTTGTCAAATAAAATAATTCATTCATTTTTAAGTTAAGTTGGCGCCAGGTACCCTTTCAGCCGGAAAATTTAAACCACAACATTTATAAAAACCTTATACGCCGACACCACGTGACTGAGATAAAGCTAGAGAAAAGATAAGCTCAAAATGGTGATTCAATTTATAAAACCACTTAATTTAACCACTTTAATTTTTTACTGAGATACGGCAATATAGCATCAAATCAATATGACAGATGACAATAGTATCACATTGTGATCTTATGAAAACAGTGGTAGAGCCAGCAATAAAACCTTTGTACAAAAGTCTTGTTCGTCCGGTGCAATACCACACAAAAGACGTCAAGTGGAAGCAATTCCTTGTACAGTCTGATAAGTGTGTGTGCTGGAGGCCTAATTATAGTCTTATTTTCCTTATAAGAACACAAGTTCGGGACAGAATAAGACACATTTATCGTCTTTGTATCCATCCTCTTTTGCGATGCATCTTTGCAGATGTGTATAGGCAACAGTCATTTTGCTATTTTGGAGAATTTCGGAGAACTTTTGTTCTTTTGTCACGATTGTACCTATGTGTAATGAAAATCTTAATAGTATTCAATTCGAAATCTGGAAATCCAGTCTACAATGTAAAAATTACAGCTTCAATTTTGTCTAAAATATTTGTTTAATGCCTAGGAACTATTTAATCTTATTTCATAACAAGCATATACAAGCAAGGGTTTTATTCAAGCTTTAAATATAACCCTCAATGATTTATAAGCCGAAGGATCGAAGATTCCTAAAACTGATGTAGATATCGAGAGGAGTCTCGCAAAATAAAGGATTATAAGAAAAACGCGTTGAGGCGGTGAGCGCTGGGCGCCCAACACGCCCCCAGTCAAAACACAGCCGGGGCTAGACGCAGCCGAATACAGCCTGTGTAATTACGTCGGGCTACCCGACCCGGCGGCGGGCGGCGGGCGGCGGGCGGCGGCGGGCCGATTCAAATTTACTGCGGACGCCGCACGTGTCCCACAAAATGAAATCCCACTACCGCGCACAACGCACAAAAAACAACCTACTAGAGTACATTGCGGGCAACACCCCCTAGCTCGCGAGTGGCCCTTCGCTCCGACCACGCCTTCTACACCTCGCTACCATCTCCCTCTTTATCTAACACGAAAGCTTAATATATCTCTGTCTCATCGCTGTTTGTGTCACATGAAAAAAGCTATAGGTTTTTGTTCAGTACGCGTTCGGACGGCGCGCGTGTTAAACGTATTTTGCGCGGTAGCCGCGTTGTGTCTGTGAAGTGCCGTGTAGAGGTGCCGAAGTGGCGGGTTTCCTTGCTACAGGACGGGGGGCCCATGCCCCCTTCCACCAGCACCACATTGGTAAAAGTCAGTGTCGGTTTGCAATAAACTAAAATTAAAAAAAAATATCTCTTCGACTTTGTGGACGGAACTGTGAATGTGAATTGGGATGCCGACGTATGGAGGTTGTTTGTTTGCCTTTTTATTTTTTTTTTAATCTTTTAACTTAAGTTTATTTTAAGTTATGGTTAAGATTGCTTATTTTTCTTCTTTTATCGCTATAGTCAACTACAAACAAAACATAATCTGATTTTTTTTTATTTTTATCAAGTAACTTTAATTTCGTTATAATGAACAAGTTATTCGCATTAAGAAAGTCCTTCATTTAGCTATATGAAACATTGAACTAATTCACACATATATTAAACTAAAAATGTATCTAACAGTTGATGTATTTCTGATAACAAGAGAATGAATATTTTTTAAAGTAACCCATACTTAGCCAAGCAATTAGTATTTATACTGTTTAGGCCTAAAGGTACGCGCTAGGCCTAAACTCCTGTAATACCAATCACTTTCAATATATTGACAAATACAACATACAAAGATGTTATTTCCAGACATAACCACATACGAAATAAAATTGTTACATGTAAGGTAAAAGATTATATGGTGATAGACTACAAGTCATCAACTCGCCCTTCCTACAGAGGGTCAGCACAGTACATTCTACGATAAAAAGAAGTTAATAAGACAGATAAAAAAGTAATAAATTGTAACAGTCGGACAGTGAATGGAAATAACTTAACATACCGTAAACAGAATTATAACCTGTCAGCTGAAAGAAGTGCATAAGGCTATTAAATAAAAAATGACAATGGATTTTGGTTACTATTCAACAAATAGGCGACCACTAATATTTTAGTAAACAACAGTTATGTAAACGAGATAAGAATAGATTATATCTAACACCTAACTTACCGAAATATACATTATCTGGAACTAACGATTAAAACATCTTTGCTTTCACAAAAAAAAACTTTCATATAACATGGCCAGTAACCTTTTGTCAAATTAAAAAAGTTTAAACTGTATTTTTAAAAACATAATAAAGTAAAGCCAAGCGGATTAAACATGCCACAACATAAAACCTCTTTAAGAACACCTCTTATCTTTTTTTAATTTACAAAGCAAAGTTTTTTAAAGTTTTTGTTAAACGCTGTTCGACTAAACAAAGAAATTCTTAAAGCACTTAACTCTTTTCGGATACGCGTGCCAACTTTTTGTTGACGTTATTTTTATTATTTTAGGTTATAAAAAAAGAGAAAACTGTCCCATACAGCAAAGATAATATTTTTTTAGTTAACTGTTATATCTCCCGTAACTTAGTAAAGTTATACATGTTTATATTCTTTTAATATAAAACTAGCTGTTCCCGTGCGACTTCATCTGCATGTAATTATGAAAATTTTATATTATTGTTTACATTTGTCGAATTATCAACATGACAATATATGACATGATGACAATCTGGCTTCCTTGATGTTGGCAGCAACTTATGGTCTGTTTCCCACATTAGGGTTTTTATC